CAATCGCTTGTGAGGCACTTCACTGATGAAGGTCCTCACGGCAAGGACCCCAACAAGGGGTCGAGGCACTGGCTGTGCAACTATTGCGAGACTCGGTTCGTGGGCAACAAGTCGGTCTTGAAGAAGCACTTTATGAAAAAGTGCAGCATTAATCTTGTCACTCGGGCATTGACAGCGGAGGAGAGGGTGATGAGAGTCGAGAGCATCCGGCTGGGGAAGCACCAGGCCAGTCAGCTACTAGGTGCAACTGGTGGGAGTAGTGGTCCGACCACAGGACCGTCTTCCAGCAGTTTCGTGCCTCCGTCATCACCAAGAGAGAGGCCAAGTGATGGTGAGACACCCTCGCCTGCAAGATTTGGGACATGCTTCCCTCCTCCCCCTGGAAGTGGTGGACGGTCGGTGAGACAAACTTTGATAGAGGAGGCGGACAGTATCATCACCAAGAACGAGCAGACGAGTCGAAAGATGGATCGGTTTCTGATTTGCACGAATCAGCCATTCAGCCTGGTGGAGAACTACTACTTCCTCGAGTTCGTCGATGCTGTGAAGAAGTGCCATCGAGTTCGTCGATGCTGTGACGAAGTGCCATCCTAGTTGGTGGCCTTGCAAGAGGGACGAGATGAGGACGAAAAGGTTGGATGGGCAGTTTAGGTTGGTGGGGGAAGACACGCAGTCACTAGTCAAGAGGTGGGAGAGAACAGGGTGCATGCTCCAGATGGATGGGTGATCGGACCGGAGGAACAACCGCACCTAAACGTGATGGTGTTTTCCCCAGTCGGAACGGTGTTTTGGAAGTCCGTCTGCATGGAGGGGAGGGAGAAGGATTCGAAAGCGTACTTCAACTTGCTGGACGGGGTGATCCAGGAGATCGGTGCGGGGTCCATTGTCAGTGTTGTGATGGACAATGCGAGGGTTTGCGCTAAAGCGGGGAAGATGGTGGAGGCCAAGTACCCTGGTATTTTTAGTGTGGGCTGCACAGCGCATGCCTTGGATCTGGCCCTGGAGGACATGTACAAGTGCATGGACTGGATGAAAGCGATCGTCGACAAGGGCAACCAAGTTGGCAAGTTCTTCACCAACGTCGACAAGGTCCGTGCGATGTACAACAGGATTGCGAATGCGCAACTCAAGCGTCCGGCGGTCACAAGATTCGCGACTAACTTTGAGATGCTTCAGTCGCTGAAGACGGGGAGGAATCCATTGGAGCTCTGTGTCTGCAACGCGGCGTGGCTGGAGAAGTTGGTGAGAGGGGAGCACGTGCCGGCATTCAACGCCGTCACCCACATCATCATGGACACGAACGGATTTTGGAAGGATGTCGATAAGGCCATGGCGGTGATGGAGCCAGTTGTCAAGCTCCTTCGTTTGGTGGACGGTCCCGGAGCAACTATGAGCAAAGTTTACTTCGGCATGGACGCTGTTGTGGCGAAAATGCGCACCTTGGAGTGTCTGTCGGAGGCTGAGAGGGCGGATGTGGAGAAGATTTTGATGGACCGGTGGGCCTTTATGACATCGGAGCTGCATTGCGCAACCGCCTTCCTCGACCCCGAGTACAGGACGCACACCTTGCGAGACACGGAGATTCGCGAGGGGCTCAACATTTGGCTTTACTCTTGGGCGCTGCCGGAGTTGCTGCAGAACGATATCAGCAGACAGGTGGACACATGGGTGCAGGGACTGGGCACTTTGGGGACACAGAACGCAAGGGATCAGGCGAGTAAGAAGACTCCGACGCTATGGTGGGAGGCGTTCGGGGGGTCCTTGGACCTCCTCCAACCGCAGGCTATCAAACTCCTTGGGCAGGCGAGCTCATCGGCTGAGTGCGAGCGAAACTGGAGCTTGCACCAGCTCATTTACGGCCAGCGCCGCACGAAGCTCATGCCGGAGAGATTGAGCAAGCTTGTGTACAACAATTGGAATATCCAATTCGCGACGCGGAGAGAGCGAGGGGACGGGGAAGACTTCCACATTTCGTGGAAGGACGACCAGCTGGCGAGAGTGGAAGTGGATGAGTGGTACGACCAATGGGCCGCACAGATCAGGGAAGGGACAGCCGGCGACGCTGGTGCAGCGGAGGTCTGCATAGACGAATCCGACGATGCCCCGCTAGAGCACACATGGCTGCACAACAACGACGAGGATAACTTTGCAGATGACGAGGACGACATTGCCGCACTCGGTGCGCTGGAGAGAACATGGCATGCCAACACGAAGCCCAGGAAACACCAAGTACGAGAATTGCGCAGGAAGTCCGGTGTTGAAGAGTCTGATCCCGCGTTCGTGTACACCTTGGAGGGCCGTGACCGTGCCTTGAAGGCGCGCCAAACCGGCGATTGGGTGGACAGGAGGGAGGCAATATCGGGTCGCGGGCGACGCAAGAAGAAGGCAACAGTTCCGAACGTTGCTGAAGAACAGCCGGTTCACAAACGGAAGAGGAAGGTTGCGGAGGTTGGATGCACCACCGAAAAAGAAGATAGGGCGGCCTCCGCTTTCACCCTCGAAGAAGGCTGCAAAAGCAGCAGCACGTGCAGAAGCCGCAAAGGCTGCAGCAGCCGAGGCAGCACGGCCTGCGAAGAGGAGAACGGCTGAGGTGATCAAAGACGACGAAGAAATCCGCGTCGTAGCCGGAAAAAAGCAGTCTTTTTCGTCCTCATCATCAGCGTCCGAAGACAGTGCGTCGGAGAACAGCGAGGAGGAGAAGGAAATGTCCCAGCACGGGAGTGGAGAGCCGGACGGTAGTGGAGTGTCGGATGGGGATGAGTCGGAGGAGGACCCGTCGCAGGCGGAGTCTCACGGGGAGGAACAGTCGAGGGAGGAGGACGAGTAGCCCTTAGGGAAAGAGTACCTTGAGGGTAGCGTGTCCGCTGTCCTTGCTTGCTTTTGTGTTCCTAAAAGTACAAACTTTGCAAACTTTGCTTTCGGGATCTTGTGTGTGTGTGTGTGTGTGTGTGTGTGAAATTGTGAATGTTTGCTTTTGCTGTTTCAGCAGCTACTGCTTGTGCTGCAGCTGGTGCTGTTGCAGGTATTGTTGAAGCTGCTGTTTGTGCTACAGCTGGTGCTGCTGCAGGTGAGTGTGTGCGTGTGTGT